ATATTCTGTGATATGAACATATTATAGTTTATTTTCTGTTGGACACTTGGGTTATTTCTAGTTTTGTGCTAAAAGGAACTATAATGATATGAGTAGTTTTGTATATTTCTCCTGACACACATATGTATTTCTCTTAAGATACAGATTTGAGGGCAACCCTCTCAGGTCCCCTCCCTCTTTGGGAGCTTTGTACTATCACTTTAGCATTGTTCAATAAACCTTGTTTTGCTGCCCATCAAAAAAAAAAAGATACAGATTTGAGAATGAAAATACTGGGCCTTAGGGCATGCATATTTATTTCTTCCTGGATACGGCCAAACTGTTTTTGGAAGTGAGTTGTATCACTTAATACCCCCACCAGCCATGAGTCGGAATCACTTGGGTCACCCTTCCCTTGATATCTACTGCTGCTTCGCTGTCTTTTAGTCCAAGTGATCCTTTGGGGTAGGAGATGCTCCCATTTTACAGATGAGAAGACAGGGTCAAAGTGGTTATGTAATTCAGTGCCAGTTGACAGAGATGGTGGATGCCAGAACTGGCATTCAAACTATGCTCTCTCTAGCTCCAGGCCTGTTATCTTTCCATGCTGCCTTCTTTACAGATAGGACTTCCAATGGTCAGGTATGTAGGGTGCTGAAGCCCCAGTGGAAGATGAACATTCTCCAGAGACTTTATTGATTCATTTTTAATTATTTTTTAAGTTTATTTAAGCAATCTGTGCACCCAATGTGGGGCTCAAATTCATGACCCTGAGATCAAGAGTCGCATGCTTTACCGACTGAGCCAGCTGGGTGCACCTTTTTTTTTTTTTTTTTTTTAAGAGCAGGTTGTGGGGCACCTGGGTGGCTCAGTTGGTTGAGCGTCTGCCTTCGGCTCAGGTCATGATTCCAGGGTCCTGGGATTGAGCCCTGTATCGGGCTCCTTGCTCAGCGGGAAGCCTGCTTCTCCCTCTCCCACTCCCCCTGCTTGTGTTCCTGACCTCGCTCTCTGTCATATAAATAAAATCTTAAAAAAAAAAATAAAGAGCAGGTTGCTATCCTTTGGTGTGGATATAGTTGTTCTTGGAAGTAACCTGTTTCTCAAAGTCTCTTCCGATTTTGTGATGCAGATGGTACTTACCCAACATGTTTAGCTTCCTGACAACTTGCTGCTTTCTTTTTTCTTGCTTTTAGCATCCAGCCTGTGTATGGAGCACAACACCCTCCTCTGGACCCTCGACTCACCAAAAAGTAAGTCAAGATATTTTTCCATTTATGCATGTACTTCTTTTAATGAACCTTCCCCTACTTTGTTGAAATGACAGTTTCTACTTTGATCTTTTCTAGCTTCTTCCCTGCTCTGTTTTGGATCAGAAGATAAGCAATCTTCTTGCCTCTAAACAGTCTATTACTAAGTGGGAAATTAACTCACATCAGAGATTTTGGTTTTCCTACATCAGAAGCTGGTTTATGCAGGGTTTGGTGTTGGACTGTGTTGTGGTGGAAGGATCTTTATTGATTAAATATGGTCCCCAAATTGGACGATTGCTGACCTTCTAGTTTCTGGGGTTCATTGCTTCTGAACATATATAGGTCTGCTACCTTTTCCTTACTTATGTTTTATGAGAATGAGGGCAAATAGAATATAACTGTACGTCTCGCATTCTTCAGGTCCTCTTTTTCTCTGACACCCTTAAAGAAACCCAGCCATACAGTAGAGTTAAAAGCTCCCTGGAGGTTATTTCTCTAGTAAAATTCTAATAAATTATTTTCAAACACAGTAGAAACGCTGGTTAAATCCAAGATGTGTGGGTGTGTTTTCATGCCCCCAATTATCACTTTATCACTCCTTTCTCTCATAGGCCATCATTCAGCCACAGTGAATTTAAATGAGGAGATGGGTCCTCTTCTCAGATTTTCTAAGAACTTTGGGTTCTGTCTCTGGGTTTGCTAATCTTAGAGACTTATTTCTAGGAAAGCTGTAGTTTGTAGTGAAAGCTGAATGATCTAAGAGGTACGGGAGGCCTAGGTTTTCACCCTTCTGGGGGCCTGTGTAATAATAACTACCCTTCCTCCCTTCACAGTCAAGGAGGGAGTAAAGATAATGTATATTAAAATATTTTGAATACCTACAAAAATGCTCTGTCAGATGTATATTATCAGTATTTTAATATTTAAAAAAGCAGGGCCAGGAGCCCCAGTAGGTTAAGCGTCTGCCTTAGGCTCAGGTCGTGATCCCAGGGTCCTGGGATTGAGTCCCACTTCGGGCTCCCTGCTCAGTGGGAAGCTTGCTTTTCCCTCTCCCTCTGTCTGCCGCCCTGCCTACTTGTGCTCTCTATCTCTCTGTCAAATACATAAATAAAATCCTTAAAAAAAAAAGAAGTAACTTAGCTGAATATGTGGTGAACTTTCTGTAATTCTATCAACTCATTTTTTTTTTTAAAAGATTTTATTTAAGAGAGAGAACATGAGTGGTAGGGGGAAGGGGCAGAGGGAGAGGCTGAGCAGGGAGCCCGATGTGGGACTCCATCCGCGGACCCTGGTATCATGACCTGAGCCGAAGGCAGACCCTTAACGACTGAGCCACCCGGTTGCCCCCCAAACTCATTATTTTTGCAATTTGGCCAGTATGTGGAAGGTATGGTCTTCTGAATGACTGTGGAAGCGTGACTGCTGTTCTTTTCTGTAATGCACAGGTTTTATATCAGAAACCACTATAGAGTATAAGCTCTTTGACGGCAGGGACTTTGTTTTATTCACCACTGTGCCCTTAGTACCTGGAACAGCATGTGGCACCTAGCAGGCACTGAGTAAACATTTATGGAATGAAAGAGTGAAATCATTGCATTTACTTAGTCAGTGGGCTTTACTTCAGTGCTTCTTAGTTCGTACTTTGCTCTTCTTTGGGGCGGGGGGGGAGCATGTTTTCTGTGACATTCCCATTAAGTAAATGCATTCTATTCCTTGGTTTTACCAATAAGAGACTATCTGGTCTGTTGGCCAGAGTAGCAGGCACTACTCAACAGTCTTCCCTGCCCCTGCTGCTTCTTGCTCAAGAACCATAATTTTATTCAGCTATTGAGCCAGTGAAATATACTTAGAGCAGGTATCCGTATTAGTTTAAGCCTTTTATAATAATTTCTTGGTAATCTCAGTGACTGGCCTACTGTGGGCTTATCTCATTGGTTCTGGCCAGTGAGATGTAAAAGTCTCCTGAAGGAAGGTACTGGGAAAGATTTTCTGGTTCGACCAGAGAGATCATTTTGTGAAGAGAGCCTCTTTTTGTCTCCACTCAAGTTTCCTGCTTTTGAATGTGGTGGTGGGAAAATGAGATGCTGGAAGCTTTAGCAGCTACCTTGTAACATGAGGGAAAGGCCAAGAGACCTACAGAGACACCTGCCCAAGTGCCTTGACATCATGGTCTTGACAATTTAAGCATTGTAGTTGAGTATTCTGTTCCTTGTAGCCAGTTCTGTTCATGTTCAGGATTTGTTGATTGGTACTAGGTCCATTCCAGTGTATTTTATAATGGTCTTTGATAAAAACAGAGCTAACCTAGAAATCAGTCCATCCACCCACACATAAGGCAGCAGAATGTGCTGTCTTGTTTTATGTTCGTGTCAGGGTCACCACACCTTGTCTGCATCCGTTACTGAGTGAGTTTTCCCTGATTCTCTATTAAGGACAGGTCTTGAGGAATATTGCCATACCCCAGACTACAAAGACACATTTTATCCACTTTTGTTTTCCCACCTATTAGTTATATAAAACCACGAATGTTCTCTCTGATCATTCAGCAGAGTTGCAATCATACTTTCAATAGAAGTAATCACTTAGCTCTGTGATTTGGGAGGAATATAATTGTCACTGAATAAATTGCTTCCCCTTTACATGCACATGGAGGTCTGTTATTAGTACTCTGCAACATGGAACAGCATCTAGGTCTGCACGGACCATTTTACAATTCCAGATTGTTACTATAAAACATTTATTGCCCTTATTTTAGTACCTTTGTTGGGACATTTTTATTACTTTCTCCGCTACATGATTATCGTTCCACTTCAGGCTGCCATTAATTACTGCGTGGTTAATCCCCATCACAGCAGAAGCCTTTACGCTGGGTCTTCAATCATCTAAACTGCATGAGCAGAGTACACGGTTCCCTGTCTGGATATAGTGACTTCAATTTGCCAAATTATTACCATTAATGATAATATTGCCTGCAATAATTTTTACAGCTCAGATAAAACTAGTCTTACTGCAGAGTGGCCCCATTGGCCACTGGATGGTATGACAGTCTTCTAAATTTATTATTTTCTGAGTTGATACTAAAATATGATAGGTCCTAGTTCCAGGTTACAAAGCTAGTTCACAGGAAGCCACCCTGGTTATTGCGATGACTGGGTTTATTTGAACGTTACTGAATACCCCCACTTGCTTCCTGCCCCTCACCAGTGTCAGACGTTATTTTTCTAAATAAATTCGTGTCCTGTTTCTATTAAGTGAGCAGCCTTATCAGCAAAACAGTGTCGTATCCATCAAATTACAGAGTGATCAATCCTTTGTTTCCTAACCAGCAGAACCTGCAACCGCTCTTGTTCAAAATATCCTTTGGGGTTTGTGTTCCCATTTAACAAGTTACCATTCACCAAACAACTAAGTTTCTCTCAGATGTGCCGTTTATTTTTTATTACATATTGTGCACTTCTTGAGTCTCTTTTTCTTCACCACTTTCTAGCTCCATGGTCTAGGGCAAATTACCAGACCTCTCTGAGCCTTAGTTCCTTCATCCATAAAACAGAAATAATAAGACTCATGTCAGAGTTGTTGTGAGGATTAAATGAGGTCTTTGTGAAACTGCCTTTTATTTTTAATTAATTTTTTTAAGATTTTATCTTTATGTAATGTCTGTACCCAACACGGGGCTTAGGCTTATGTCCCCAAGATCAGGAGTTGCATACTCCACTGACTGAGCCAGCCAGGCGCCCTCAAAAGTGCTTTTTTAAATGATAATTTGGCATTCAGTAGCAAGGAGGTGTGATGAAGGTCTCTGTGAGAGGCCAGCCGGGTTGGAAGTTTGATATAGATCTGTTTAAACAATCTTGGCTAAACTTCGAGCCGCACTGTATTAGGATGCCTTGAGTTGGTTATTAATTAGTTGGGACCATGTTAAAATGAGGCAGCATATAATCCAGAGGTACCCCCAGCTAGGATTACCTGGATTGGTTTTTTGACTGTGACTGCTGATGTCAAAAGGGAAGAGAGAGACTTCTCCAATGACTGTATTCCTGGATGTGGCTTCTTCCCATTCTGGCCACCAGCATACACAGCCTGTTCCGTGTAGAAAAGAAGTGATTGCTACAAGGTGAGAACATTGGGGCTCCCAGCTGTGCACAGTTGGGAAATTAAAGCTGTCGTTACGTGCTCGGTTCACTTGGCAACAACTCTACCCAGGCCACGGATCTTACTAGATCTCTTTTTCTAGGTAGATTAGTTAAAAAGAGTGTATGCAGGCTCTCAGGTCAGGTAGACCTAGATTTGAACCCAGACTTTGCTGCCTGCTCATAACCTCAGTAAACCTCAATTTCCTTATCTGCAAATGGAAATAATAATAATAATAATGATAATAGTACCTCATAGCCTTATGAATGAGCATTAATCAGAAAATGGGTATATACAGCAGCACAGAACCTGGCACCCAGTAAATAGCCAAGCCATGTTAACTTTTGGGTATGTGTACATTTATATTATCTCCTCTGGAGAGAACAGAATGAATAGACATGGAAACGCTTCAGCTTTAAATCTTTCCCCCATTGTTACTGGTCTGTAGATTTTACTGCTTTCTCTCAGCGTCAACCCAGGTACCTTTTCACTCTCACATGCCTCTTTGGTTCTCTGAGTGGTTCTCACCAACCTTCTGTCTTCAGACTCCTACCCCTTTAGGGGTATGCACCCCCTCCTCCATGAAGGCCTCTTTCCTAAGAACAGAGCTTTTTTAACTGGTTGGTTGAGTTTTGGGCTTTGTGGAATAGGTATCCCTAAAATGATTTCTAGCAGCCTCAAAATGGTCTGCTTTGACTCTCTCTTTTCCTGTTGCAGGGAATGACATTCTTTCCTCCCTTCTTTGCTCTTAGTGTGTTGGAATATGTCCTTCCAATTTCTATTTGCAAAAGTCTTCATCTGAGGAAATTCCAATTCTTAATCTTAATAGTTGACTTATACTGAATCTTCATCTGCTTCAAAAAATATAATGAAATACTTAAAATGCATAAAAAGGTGAAAGAAAAATATAACAAACCCTCATGTACCCACCACTCAGATGATTTGCCTCCTTCATTTATATAGAAAGCTCAGCGTCAGTTAGAGCCTGATGCTCAGCATGGCCCATCTCTTGGTGTCGTGTTTTAATCCACTCCAGGGTGTGCATGTGCTTCAGCCAGTGTTAATTCAGCATCCAGCCAGTTCTTTCACCAGAGTTAAAATTCAGCTCCTTGATTTGATGGCTTATTTTAAAAATCCTCAAAATACCAAGAGAGTATTTAGGATGGGCACCTGGCTGGCTCAGTCAGTAGAGCATGCAACCCTTGATCTCAGGGTCTTGAGTTCAAGCCCCACGTTGGGCGTGGAGCCTACTTAAAAGGGGGGAGGGGCATGGGGTGGCTCAGTCGGTTAGGCATCTGACTCTTGATTTTGGCTCAGGTCGTGATCTTGGGGTTGTGAGATCAAGCCCTGTGGACGGGCTCCACATTCAGCAGGGAGTCTGCTTGAGTTCTCTCCACCCCTCTCCCAACCCCTACCCCCCCGCAACAGGCACATATGCATGCTCTCTCTCTCTCAAAAAAAAATAATTATAAATAAACAAATAAAAATAAAAGAGTATTTAGGAAACATCAACCAGAAAAAAACAGTAGTGAACCTTGGTATCCAAAGCACTCCATATCACCCTGTTGGGTTCATCATGTGCAATCTTGAGGTAAACATTGCCTTCAAAGAGGAAAACAACAATAACCATGGACTCCAATGCAGTATTTTATTGATGACAGATCTTACACATCTGCCTATTTGTTCTTTTTTTTTTAAAGATTTATTCATTTTATTTTTTTAAAAGATTTTATTTATTTATTTGACACAGAGAGAGAGAGAGTGCACAAGCAGGCAGAGCAGCAGGCAGAGGGAGAAGCAGGTTCCCTGTGGAGCAGGGAGCCCACTGTGGGGCTCGATCCCAGGACCCTGAGATCATGACCTGAGCCGAAGGCAGACGATTAACCGACTGAGCCACCTGGGCGCCCCCTGCCCATTTGTTCTTGACAGTGGACCCCCTGAGGTGTGTACTGCAGGCAGTGGGTCCTACATCCCCCTCGACAAAGGAGAAGCAGGCATGGTGACGAGTCCAGAACATGCAGCCTCACCAGGTCCGTGGAGGAGTAATTTGCCTCTTCTGGCTCATGGATGGATTTTTGACAGCAGATATTCACAATGTGTTGCCCCAGTTTTATTTTCTTTGATTTGAGCTCTTGTTCATTTCTGATTGTTCGTTCAGAAGTTTATAAGTACTCTTACTTTGGGGATTGCTGAAAGCAACAACCTTATCCACTGATTAATAAAAATAATATGCTCACTGTAGAAAACATGAATAATTCAGAGACCTGTAAAAATGAAATCAAATATCACCTATAATTCCATAGCCTAGTGATAAGCACTGTTAACATTTTGATGTATTTTCTTTCTGGTCTTTTCTATGCATATACTTTTTTTTTTAATACAGAGATTATAAAAATATATTTTTTGGTTCCAGTTTTCACCTTATTGAGATCATTTGCTAGTGTTATTAAATAGCCTGTAAGATGTGCTTTTCATTGGCATTATAACATTTCTTCTGGTGGCTGAACTGTAATTTATTTCATCATTTCCAATTTCTAGATGTTTATGTTGTTTTCAGTTTTTAAACAAAATAAGTAACACCATGATAAACTGCCTTAGAGCATCTTTGACCCTCTGGTTTTTCTGTTAGGGTCAGAGATTATGGTATGTATGTTGCCAGATGGTTTTCCAGAGGGCTGTACAGTATTACATCCCCTCCCCCCCACAGTATCAGATGGAGGTCCCACTGCATCTTGGTCAACACTGAGAACACCCTTTAGATCTTTGCTAACTGAGCAGGTGGGAAATGGTATTTTGTTTCCAACACATTTGAACTGCTACATCTTGTAATCTAGTTTTCTCTCATCACACATTGTGTGATGTCTTTTCTTCCTTTACTCTGTATGAGACCAGTGTTTGAAAGTAATGCCTCAGAAAATCTTACTCCTTTTCTGATGCTAATAGTAGGGACTTCTGATGAGCTGTATGAGTTGTCAGACTGTATTCATCAATGTTAATAACCATTATCTCTCAGAATAAGCATTGGACTCCTCTAGGGAGATGAGATGGATTATTAGACAGCCTACCTCTGCCCAAGAGGAAGAGACAGCTCCTGGAAATGGGGGAACTTCCGCTCTTCTGGCAGAGCCTTGTTTCCCTGCTAGAGTCACTGTATGTTGCTGGAGGAAACAGGCATTTAGTGATGTCTTTACTCCAGTGCATTCCAGTCCCCAGGTGTAAATTTATACGAGGTTTGGGGTTCGAGGGATGTTAGATGAGACTGAGTTAGAAATGTCCCAACCAGCATCCAACTCTTGGTTTTAGGTCATGATCTCAGGGTCATGAGATAGAGCCCCAAGTTAGGCTCTGGGTCAGCATGGAGTCTGCTTAAGATTCTCTCTCCCTCTGCCTCTCCCCTGACGTGTACGTGTGCATGCACATGCACGCTCTCTCTCTTTCTCTGTTTCTAAATAAATAAATCTTTTTTTTAAAAAAAAAGGACTGTCCCAACTACATAGTCCTCTGGATCCAGAATAAGGGCCTATAGACGTTAATGGGGAGACAAAGAGGAAAAAGGTCAGGAAAGTAGGAATGGTCTGCATGACTCTTAGAACTAGGCTCTCTTTCATCAGTGAATTAATCTGGTATTTCCCAAATTTTAGTCATGTACCATCTTTTACAGTTTTTTGCCACACTCTGTACTGTTATTTACCAGATGCATTTTAAAAAATGAACTTTTTAAAAAACTCAATTAGATTTATATTTTATTTTTTTTTTAAGGATTTTATTTTTAAGTAATTGCTACACCCAGTGTGGGGCTCAAACTCACAACCCCGAGATCAAGAGTCGCATGCCCCACCAACTGAACCAGCCAGTTGCCCCAGATTTATATTTTAAAGTAAACCTGTCACTTCTATAAATTAAAAGTAGAAAGCCGATTATCATTTGCCAAAAATGGAAAGTAACTTTAAAAAATAAACACAGCGAGAAACAAAACAATCTTTTTTTTTTTAGATTTATTTATTTGTCAGCACCAGCAGGGGGAGCAGCAGGTGGAGGGAGAGGGAGAAGCAGGCTCCCCGCTGAGCAGGGAGCCCGATGCAGGACTTGATCTCAGGACTCCGGGATCATGACCTGAGCTGAAGGCAGTCACTTAACCAACTGAGCCACCCAAGCGCCCCCAAAGCAATCTTATTAATAAAATTCTAAGCCAGCCGATGTTGCTTGTGAATGTGTTGATCCTGAGGCTGCCCTCTCTTTGTTAAAAAATAGTCTTAAAGACTGAGTAGCACCAAATGAGATCGTCTCCTCTCGGCTAGCAGAAGGGCTTTAACAGAATGGAAAAGGAACAGCTCGTTCATTCTGGAACTCAGTGTTTAATGCTGCATATGGACTACCTAAAATTATCTCTGGTTCTGCCAGTGCTTTATGTTCTACTCTAAGGAATAGGTTATGTTGCCGTAAGAGATTAATTCTGGAATCTTAGTGGATTGACACAACAAAGGTTTCTTCCTTGCTCATGCTACATGTCCAAAGTGGAGTTGAGTGGGAGAGGGGGGCAGGCCCTGCTCCACGCAGCCACTCTGTTTCCCAGGTGAGGGAGGTGCCACCCTCTGGCTCCCCGGCAGTTACCAAGGTAGAAGAAAGCTTATAGAGAGAACTCACACCTTTCTTGTCTGCTTTGGCTTGGCACTGATTAGCCTCACTTCTCTCCTCAGCCCATTGGCTGGAACTAGTCATCTGGCCTCACCTAAGTACAAGGGGGCTGGGAAATAGGAGCACGTGGGATATTTGGGAGCATTGCGATCTTTACTACATCTGTCTCTGTAGCATAGTGCTGGTCCGTATGCGTCTGGATGAGGAACGGATATGAATGTTTTTTTTGTTTGAAAAAGTAAAGACTGTGTATGAGGTAATTTGTCATACGGTTAATATAAGAAAGTGAACGTGGTCAGACGTATCAGATCATTCCTTGGTAACGATGTCTCCTTTATTAAAGTTTCATCAAAGAACGGTCCAAAGTCAACGCAGTTCCTTTGAAGAATAAGAAGGCCTCCAGTTTCCATGAGTTTGCCCGGAATACCAGTGATGCTTGGGACATTGGTGATGATGAGGAAGAGGACTTTTCCTCCCCTCCTTTCCAAACTCTAAACTCAAAAGTTGCTCTGGCAACCGCAGCCCAAGTCCTAGAAAACCACAGCAAGCTGAGGGTGAAACCAGAACGCTCCCAGTCAACAACATCCGATGTTCCTGCCAGCTACAAGGTCATAAAGTCCAGCAGTGACGCTCAGCTGTCCAGAAATTCCAGTAAGTCCATCCTGTTCCCCTCTATAGCCTCAGCCTTTTCAGCAGAGTGCATTCTAAATACACAGTTTTTCTTTAGGGCATCACTCAGATCTTTCACTGGATGATAAAACGTGAAAGCGCAAGCCTGTCGTACAACATCAGTGACCTGATGGATCATAGGCTGTACTTACTCCTCCCACCTTGAGGGCTCCCTGGGGCTTCAGTTCCTGACGCCCAGCGTTGTCTGCCATTCTCTTCTTCCTTTCCCATACTTTTGCAGTTTGGTCGCTTCACTTTGCTTTAGACTTGGTCAGGTTTAAGAATATTGACTGGCGTATGTAAAGCTGGTGGTGGCTGAATTCCACAAACGTTTGGTGCTGTTGGCTGGCCACCTCAGCCCTGGGGAGCACCCACAAGCATCGGGCTGGCTTTTTCCTGCTTCCGAGGGATGGAGCAATGTGGGCCTGCAAGCCCTGTGTCACAGCTCCCTGCCCATGAGGTGGGAGGGGCGGGAGGGGACACCCCTCCTGTTTCTTTTTTTCAGCAACTGGTCAAGGTGATGGTGGCTTTATCCTGTATTTGGGGACCGTCAGTGTATTCTTTTAAGCATCCATGGCTGTATGTAATGTTGCTCTAAGGGGTTTTATGGAAGCCAGTTATTCTGAGCTGGAGAGGGAAGTGTCATCATTCCAGTGAAAGTTAGAACAGCTGACTGGGAAAGGGTGAAAAGGAAGCGGAGGAACGGCAGAGCCCTGGAGTGTGTCCCGACTTTCGTTCTAAGGGAACAACTTCTCCAGTTTCAGAATAAGCACATGGTCGTGAAATTAGGCCCTAATGCCTTTAAAATTATTCCACGGCCACTTTCCATCACGGACTCAGGGCCATGCCCACGTGGGCATTCGCTGTTGGTAGACAGAGCGGCTATAGCTGTAGGCTCTTGGAAGTGTCTGTGTACTGTGACTGAGGGTCTCCAAGGGTCCCATTGTGAGGGAGGTCCCCGCCACAGCCTCTAATGAAGGTGCTGCACTTGTGCAGCCAGGACTGTCCAGAACATTCCCTTTATGAGGTTCCCTCCTGTGAGCGTCATCCGTTAATCTGGGCTATCAGAGGTGCACATTGCTCTCTAGGCCCCACGTGGCACGAGGTACCCCAGCCGAATACCCTGTGGCAGGCAGCATTTCCGTCAGCCCTCTAGTTGTGCAGGTTGCGGAGTGTTCATCATTTAATTCTTGTCGTGACTACTGCTTTTTAAGGCCCAGACAGTTGAAGAATATGAAACAGTCATGGAACGACAGTCAGAATTTAAAACTGAGTTTTCTTTGTGGTAGTAAAATAAATAAGGGTTTTTGGAGGCAGACAGACTTAAGGTGGCATCTCAGGTCTCACTAGCAAATCACCGTTAACCTCTCTGAGCTGCAGTACCAAATCTCTACCGTATGTTGTAAGAATCAAATGAGAGATCCTAGGTAAATGTGACCCGCCTGATGTCTTAGACATAGTAAGAGCTCAATAAATGTCAGTCCATCACCACTCCTCTCTCCTGCCTACCATCTAGGTTAGAAATGTCTAGAACCAGATGTATGGTTCTGCTTGAGTCTGTATTCCTGTTATTTCAGTCATATCCCAGCAGGATTAAAAGCTGGTTCCTCTTGGTGGGAAATGTGGGAGCACAGAGGAACTTTAGCCTCCCGAAACAGGATTGTGCCGTGGCTCTTGATCCTCTCAGCCCTTGGGGCTGCCATGTGGGGCCTGGGGTCTCAGGTCAGCAGCCACCTGTTTTTATCGCACACGCTCTCCTGTGTTGTCATTGCGCACATGCTCTGTGATGTGGAGAGGGAAGGCAAACACTGCCTTAGGCTGTGCTGCCCCCAAACTCAGTATTAGGCATGAAGGAACGTTCTAAGTTGGGGTAGAGTGGAAACATTTGGTTTCCCTCCGGAGTGGCCAAAAAAGTGCTCAGAGTTGCTATGGCATCCGGAGTCTCTGTGAGCACGGAAGGCGCCTTGGTAGGATGTGATCACAAGGCAGCCCTTCCTCTGGGCACATGCGTGGGGCGCAGCTGGCTTTGCATTACCGGCCACCCCTCAGCGGGCACCTTCAGGCGGCGCGCCTGCAGCGGGGCCAGTGCTGAACAGCCAGCGTGGTGCTCCTCCGAGGCCATGCTCCACACGCCGCCCGGTCTCCTTTTCACTCTCGCAGGTGATACATGCCTGAGGAACCCGCTCCACAAACAGCAGTCACTCCCTCTCCGACCCATCATCCCCCTGGTTGCCCGCATCTCGGACCAGAATGCGTCTGGGGCGCCCCCGATGACCGTCCGGGAGAAAACCCGCCTAGAAAAATTCCGTCAGCTTCTCTCCAGCCACAACACTGACTTAGGTGAGTCCCCGTGAGCCCCCTGGGCAAGGTAGGAGCTCTTGGTGACCGGAATTCTCACAGAGAGACCTGGAAGCTATTGCTCTTTATTCTTCCTTGTTTTACTTTTCCAGCATCACCTGATCTGATGCCCATTGCAGTGACATGCCGGTATTAAGTCAGAAGTACGTTACTAGAAATTAGGGACCAAATTAGGTGGGACTGGATTCTGTGGCCCGTAGACCATAGTGCAGCTATTCTGGCTTTGGTCTCCCCTACCTCGAGGCAGTTCTGACTGAAACCCACCCTCACGGGTCTGCCTTTTCCCCTCTAAGTCTGCTCTCCGAGCTGACTGCATCACCACCGCCGAGCCGCGTCTTGGCCACCCTGCTGCTCAGGGCTGCTGTTCGGGGCTCCTTCCCTGTGCTTGTCGGTAGCCGCTGCTCGTGCTGGTGCTGGTGGTCTTTCTTGAACGGTGGGAGGAACCAGGCAGTGCCGGCTGAGGTTCGTCTTAGGGCCTTGGTGGGAAGGGCTAATCCAACGCAGCTGTTATCTGTTTGCAGATGAACTGAGGAAGTGTAGCTGGCCAGGAGTTCCCAGGGAGGTTCGACCTGTAACCTGGAGACTCCTGTCGGTGAGTTCTGCCCACTGTGTAGAGAAGCGTGAGCCTCACACAGCCCTTCTTACCTGATGAGGTTCGTCTGGACACGTTCATCTTACTGCATAGACTTCTCCAGTCCCACTGGGTACGGCACATCTGTGGGACTGTCCTCTTTTTTTCTGTGCATGAAGAAACACGCTCTTGCAAGCTTACACACATATAGAAGAGCACTGCTTTTCCCTGTGGTCACAATCTCACATTCTCAACAGCAGGGAGAAAGAGTGTAGTGAGCTGGGGATCCCGGCACTTGTTTGGACCAGCTCCCACATTCCCTGGACTTGCCTCCTCTTCCAGTAGGAATAACCAGAGTGGGGGAGAGCCACTCTGCGGCCGTGAAGGGCTGAGAAATGGGCCTCCCTCAGAAGCCTGCACTGGTCCTACTTTCCCAAAGGACAGAGCACTGGGCCAGCCCCTGGGATAGGGACACTAGGATTTCCTGAGCCGTCACATTCATTCATCCATCTAGTCAGGAATGATTAAGGGCCCGCTGTTTGCTGGGCACAGATAGGTGGCCATGAATAAAGCACAGTCCCCGCTCTCCAGGCACTGGCCGTGGGATGTAGTACATAAATGTTTGTGAGAGGAAGGGCCTGGTCTCCTGAATGCTCCCCGCCCCCCAGTCCCACAACCGTGTTATCAGTGCCTGGGCCACTTCCAGGAAGGGCAGGTGCAGTGAAGAGTAGATTTGGTGAGAACGGAAGGAGAGCAGGAGATGCAAGAATGGAGAGTGGGATCTAGAGCAGGGGCGAGGAGGGAAGTTGGCCTGGAGTTTGGCCAGGCAGCAGGCCCCTGCCAGGAGTTCTGTGTCTGTGCATTGTCGCTGCTATGTCCCAGATTACATTCAGCTTCCTAAGCTGGGAATTCTGACTGTTACCGCGGAAAAGATTATGTGACTGGGCCCGGATGTACACAGCCCGCCGCTGAGATGCGTCATCGAGGTGGCCATATTGCTGGGATTCTTGGACGTATTACCTTGCACACATGCAGCCCTCAGAGGCCTCAACTTGGGTCCCATTCCCTCCCGTTGACCTACATGCATTGTTCTGCCAAGCCAATTCCCGGAGCTCTGGAGTGCAGGCCCGCTGAATGCGCGCCCCATGCGGTGTGGGGCCACGGGTGTAAATAACCCTGGGAAAGCGGGCCTTGCTTCATCTGCCCACGTGTGGGGCTCGTTGAAGGAGGAGAGGGCAAGCACTGGGTGGCCCCGACCCAAGAAGGGATGACTCTTGTCCTTTTGGCAGTTGTCCTTCCATTCCTTCCACAGTTTACAAGCCACTCCTCAGGCTAAAATAAAAAATTAAGGATTCATCCAACCAACGTGTGTCCCCATCTGACCAGCAGTCCTGTTTGTAGGGCTATCTCCCAGCAAACACTGAGAGGAGGAAGTTGACCCTGCAGCGGAAGCGGGAGGAATATTTTGGCTTTATTGAGCAGTATTATGACTCTCGAAATGAGGAACATCACCAGGATACCTACCGACAGGTACAGTCGTCACCCTTTGTGGTTACTAGTCATAATGGTTTGTCTCCTGGGAGTACTGTCATGGTGCAGGATTTCCAAGTCTTTCGGGCTCTCGTGTGCTGGTTAGGAATTAAATTTATTCCTAGAACTGCTTCCCCTCTTTCTAATGAATAGCTCTGATTTTAGCCATTTTAAATAGATTTTTTTTTTGGGGGGGGCATTAATCACTGGCAGTGCTTCTCAGACTTTAATGTGCATACAAATCACCTTGATAAAAGCCCACCTAAGGATTATGATAAAACGCAGATTCTGATTCAGTGGGTCTAGGGTGAGACCTTCACTTCAAACAAACTCTCAGATGGTGCCAGTGCTACTGGTCCCCAGACTGCAAGTAGTAAGGGTCATGGGGCACAAAGTGAAAGATGAGCTCGCCCAGGAGTGGTGCAGTCCCTCTGGACTGTGTGACATTAGTGTGTCCTTCTGGCAGCCGTAGCGCCTTCTCAGGGCCCCTGTCCGTCTGTCTGTCTGCAGGCACAGTGGTTACCAGCAGGCTCGGCAGGGAGTGTCCCGTCATCCTCACAGCGGTCCCTGCAGCCTGCTGAAAGAGGAGGGGAGGAAGAAGAAGGGGAGGGGGTTGACCTCAGCAAGCCTCGGGAACTGAAGTAGCCTCTGCTGCCACTGACACAGTCTTTGGGGTCGTTAGACTGGGTGCTGAGACATCCTGAAGCTGAAACCAACTGTAGTGATCTCTTTAGTAACAGAAGTGAGGACTTCCAGTGCCAGCTCCCTTGGGCTCCCCATCCTGGCACATGAGTTCAGCCATCAGAGCCCTTCCAGTCCTTGGTGACTGCTGAGGAGGAAGATTCTGAAGGAGGGGTACCCATTTTGATCATACCTGTTGAGTAAGTGCCAGCCCAGAGTGAAACAGATTCCAGAGCAAGAGGAGAAAGCGGTTGATCCTCTTAGGTTGTGAAGCCTATTGCTAGTCGATGTGAGTGGTTTATTTGGGGAGGTTTCCTCACTTTCAGTAAGCTCTCGCTCTCATGGAAATGTATTCCAGATGGACAGGTGGGTTTCACTAGACTTTTTTGGTGTGTCTGTCAGTTCTTTCTAAATATAAAATGTGCTCTCACTCTTACTCCCAGTTCCTAAGAAAATAACTTCTCAAAAGAACAAACTGGCATTTGTGTTTTTAGACCTGACTTCTCTTTTTCAGATTCACATTGACATTCCAAGGACAAATCCGCTCATTCCGTTGTTCCAGCAGCCACTTGTACAGGAGGTGAGGGAAGTACTTAACATTCTGGGCCCTTCTCCCTACCCCCCCCCACCCCCCCCCCCCCCCCCCCCGCCGGTAACCCCCACAGCACCTGTTCCGCATGGCCGTGCCCTAGCCCTCCCTCCAACCGTGGGCAGGTTGACAGCCGATCGTGGTAGTGCCTCATGTTCAGATATGGAGCTGTGGTCCCTGCAGAGCACATTCTTGGGCTTTCTCATCTGCTCTTCTTAACAAACCTAAGGGCCAGGTAGCGCTTTGAGAAGTTAAGGGACTTACCCGGAGTCTTACAGTTACCTGGGAACAGAATGAAGACTAGAACTCACACCTTAGAATTCCTAGTCCTGTGTTTGCTCTTCTTTATCACGCTGGGGCGGTGTTTGGTTTTATTGCAGTAAGTATACATAACATGAAAGGTACCATTTTAACTGTTTTCAAGTGTACAGTTTCAATGCCATTAAGTACATTCACACTTGGACAGCCATCACCACCACCCGTCATGAGGACTTCTTTCCATCTTCCCAACCTGAAACTCTGCATCTATTAAACAATAATCTTTCATTCCCCAGCAACCACCATCTTACTTTCTGACTCTGTGAATTTGAGTATTTCGGGTACTTCAAATAAGTAGGATCATATAATGTTTGTCCTTGTGTTACTGGCTTATTTCACTTGGCATAATATCTTCAGAGTTCATCTATGCTGTAGCATGTGTCAGAATTTCCTTCCTTTTAAAACTGAGTAATATTCCTTGTGTGTGTATAACACATATTGTTAATCCATTCGTCCATCCATCTGCAGTTGGGTTGCTTCCCCCTTTGGGGTATTGTGAATAACACTGCTGTGAACATGGGTCTGCACATACCTGTTTGAGTCCCTGGTTTAAATCCTTTTGGGTATACGCCCAGAGGTTGAATTAGTAGTGATATCTGGAGACCTAACAGGCTAGTGAAGCACATGGAAGGTTTCAGTGGGACTATTATTTTTTGACCCAAGCAGTAATTATAACCGTCTTGAGATTAGGGATTTCCTTAGCAGCTTCACAGTAGCGAGGACACTGGGTGTAAGTGCTTTCTGAACTCCATTTTCAGTTATCCTCATATAGAGAGGGATGGTGATAACATGGCTCAAGATAATTTCTATTTGAATTTAGATTATATTCATAATTTTATTGGTGGGACCCCTCATGACTTACCAATAACATAAAGACAATTTTGAGGGTGACACCATTATTTTACCTCTAAGATTCAGCTCAGAGAAGCTAAAAATCCACTGAGGATCCATTTGTGTCTCTCATTGTTTCCTCAGCTCAGCCCTGCTTATCCCTCACTTTAACTCGGAGATGTTCAGCAACTTCCCTTTCACCTCTGCGTGCTGACTGTAAACTTTGAGACAGGGAAGTAGTTTGTTGAAAATGCTTTTCCTAGTAGTGGAACATGAATACAAAGAAGGAAACTCAAAGTATATTCTTTCCATTTTTTCTTGAATCATCTTTACATCTAGCAGGCTATGGTCAAAGAGTATTACTTAATCCTTAAAATGCCAACCAAGGAGCAGGGAACTAACACTGAATATTGAAAGACTTGCTTTGCATATCTGAAAGATACTTGAGAATTGACTATCATAAGTCAGAATTACCCGCACAAGTACAAGAGGTACAAGAAAAACCTTTAGGGATTATCCTCTTCACTCCTCTCTACAAGGCAAGATTATCTCAGGCTGTTTCTCTGTCAGGAAGATTCCCTGGTCTCCCCTGGTAACCAGGCCTGGTGCTCTTCAATTTCCATGTCTTCAGCATCTTCACTTGTACAGTGTTTGTGCATCTGCATTGTCCCATCCTTACCGGAGAGGGATTCTCCCAAGTCTCCTGACCATGAACTGCTAGCTTCCAGGCACTTGGCCATTGTTAAAACCAGTCAGTTGGGATTTGTGTATTCACAAGGAGCTGATAGTGTGGAGCAGAAGCCCTGGTGAGTCCTTCAGAACTAACAGAGATGCCCAGACAGACATAGGCCACCGGGCAGGGGCTACTTGAGATCTTCCTGAGCATGGTAGTCTAGCTTGAGCTTCTGTTTCAAGGGAGGGAGGACAGAATTTAAAAGGGTCTCCATTAGCATATTGGGCCTAACACAGGTGAGGTTGCCACACCCTTCCCTCAGCCTCATAGAGCAAGTGGGCAAGTCTGGTGGAGGCAGAGAGGCCATCTCGCTTCCAGGCAGGGCTTTGTTCTCGTTGCCTGTAAGGGCAGGAGTGTGGACAGTGGGCGTGTTTCTCAGCTCCCTCTGCCAGCTGGAAGGCAGACGCAGCATGGGGGCTGGGAAACATCCTTTATTATGTCTCTGGATTCTCTACTTCTCTCCTGCACTAGCTCACCAACTCCAAAACCATACATGCATTTCCTTGCTATTGTTTTCCCTGGGGGTGGGGGGTGGGGTTCTCCCTTGCACCTGACCTCTGAGAAGGCCTCTGCAGTCTTCCCCCAGAAAACCCATGCGCTGTGGGGCCCCACTCATCTCCCGTGCCCCTGTACGCGGTCACCATCAGCTCTGCCATTCCTCTGGTGTGGCTCACAGAGACATGAGGCAGCCCAGTCAAAGCCAGTGTAAAGAATTTGTTGAACTGGGGAGTTGCGGTCACCAGGATGAAGCCAGGAGATAAGCAGCATCAGAGAAGATGGGGCGGGAGGCGGGGGGAGGACTGAGAGGGCCTAATGAAGGCAGAGGGACCCCAAAAATCCTTTCTTTCTCCCCACTGGAGGTCTCTGGCCTCTTGTGGCTAATATACTGAACCCCAGCAGCTTTCCCATGGAGGTCCAGGCTGATTTCTCTGTTCTCAAGTTCCCAGCTGTAGGATTAGGTTTATTTGACTTCCTATCCCCAGCGAATGTCCGGGTTGCATCCTGATACGCGAAGTGACTTCCTGCATTGACAGTCTGTCACTGGCTCCCAGTCAGGCGGGGCTAGAAGTACATCTAAGTCTACGTTTCTTTCTGTCTCCGTGGGGAGAAAGGAGAGCGTGGTGGAGAGGGTGTTTCCTCTCCACCTCCTGTGATGATAAAAAAGATTTAGAAAAGGTATCAGAACTGAGGGGTTCTACCATCTTGCTTCTGGAGATGGAGAGCCAGTTATCTACAGATGAGAGTGTGGTGGCCTTGTCAGTGCCAACCATAGCAGACCTTCTCCTCAGCCATTTGTGTCACTCCCCTGCCCTTTTCCCACTTTTAGATCACAGTGACCGCCTACTGCAAAGAGAAACAGAGGGCAAGAACTGTCCACCCCTGCTTAAAAACAACCAGCTTCTTAGAAACTTTCTGCATTTTTATATACTTCCTTTGTCCCACAGTAGTTTTATAATTTAATAAAAGTTCAGCCGCATCCCTGAGGTATGTTGTGAGGTGGGTAAGTGCAGGGAGGGAGCGTATCCCTATGATTTAACAGTCACATCTTCTTTCTCGTTTTCCTAGATCTTCGAAAGAATTCTATTTATCTGGGCCATCCGACACCCTGCCAGTGGGTATGTCCAGGGAATTAATGACCTGGTCACCCCGTTCTTTGTCGTCTTCCTCTCAGAATATGTGGGTAAGAAGCATGAGTCCCAAGTTGAACAAACTATTGCTGTTTCTTATCTGCGGTGTGTTTGTTTTTCCCAAGAGTGCAGCCAGTAGGCATGTCTTGCTAAAGAGATTGTGGCCTTCGAATACACAGCAAACCCTGTTTTGACAGCAGTAGCAGTCTGGAATTAGTTTCTCTCTTGAGATGGCCACAGGTCTCACCTGGAAACGACCTGCTTTGTCACAGAAGGACCAAATGGATACCTTTATGTTCTGCCATACACAGATGGCTCAAAGCTTTATTTGAGGTCATTTTGGGATTGTTTTGGACTTGTCTCAAACACAGGCCATCCTCCATGAAAGCTGGAATTTTAGATTGTACATGAGGCCTTCACACTTGAGTTCACATGCTGTATCTTAGCAGCAGGATGTGGCCGTGTAGAGGAGGAAAGCTGGGGGCACCAGAATCGAGCTCACGTTGGAGGTAACGGAAGGGGCTGAGGAGAGTTCCAGGACCTTGATTTCTCCCTTCCTCCTTTGCCTCTTGCCCCATTAGGTGTTTGTCACTTTGGATAGAAGTAGATATCATGGCGGCAGTTAAGTTTTCTTACAGCTCCAGCCTCCTCCTCTGGCCAGGCCTGAATTAGGCAGTCTTAAAAGGGGTTAAGGATCCTCCCCTTCTCCTTTTGGTTTCCTCAACCTCTTGTGCTTAGAGATTCACAGGAAAACCCATCTGTCATGTTGGTTCTCAGCCAGTTAAGGGGGAGCTCATGGGGACATAAGAACGTTGGAGGGGGTCCCAGAACACCATCCGTGTGATCCCCTCATTTCACCGATGGGTCGTGAGATGCCCTGTGTCCTTATTGGTGGCAGAGTGAGGACTAGAACCCTTTTCTTTAGGCTCTGGAGGCAGTGGGTTATTGTGGGTTTTGGAGGAAGCCAGTGCAGGAGGGGAGGAGGGTAATGAGAAGCAGACCAGAGTAGAACCCCTTGGAAGGTAAGGGCGTAAAAATGTCTCACTTGATTTCATCTCACTCTTTGTTTTCTGATGGGCCTCAGTGGATGGTGTTTTGGTCTTTTATGAATGAGGCAGTCTCTGAAAAGTAAGGCAACTGAATGATACCATCCCTAGTCCCCCCTTAGTGGCAGCAACCAGGGCAGAACTGGGAGTAAGGTCACCCTTGCTCACTCGACCAGGGAATCCTAAGCACAAGAAAGATAAGTTAAAATGTAGCTACCAAAAGCATATAAATAAAGCTTTTGCTAGAGGACTTTTCATTTTCCCTTCACATTAATAGGTCAGCTTTTGGAGGCAGCTTAATTCTCTGTGTTTAACTTTATTAAGAGCAGTGCAGCTGATCTGTTGGGATTTGGGGGTAGTTTTTTGCAATAGCACTTTTCTGAAATAGTATTAAAGGATGAGCCTAGAAAGGTATTAAGCCATTCACTAATCAACATTTGGAGTGGAAATGCTGGCGTGAAATCTTGGTAACAGTATTAAGCCAGTTCAAAATAATCCGCAGCAGCTGCAGTTCTAATTGGATGTTTAATTATCCTGTTAGCTGCCACTTATATTTTGTACCAGATTTTCCTTTTCTTTCTGTAGGCACAACGCTGTGGGTCCCACCAAGCACTGTGCCTTTCTTTGATAGATGTGACTGGGTTCTGATGTTGATATTTGTCAGCACCACCTGCTCACCGGCAGTGTTTATGCAATAAAGGGTGGGCTTCTCCGCCCTTCCTTGGGGCCAGTCTTGGCGAGGCTCTACCCAGTTTTACTTCTGCAACAGACTTCAGAAGGGTCTTGGTACCTCCTTCTAAACTGAGGAAGGTGGGGTCCATTCATTTTTTTATAAAAACTTTAATTAGGTTAAGTTTCAAATATTTGTAAAAGTAGAAAAATAGCATGCCACAAATCTTACTTCTCACCCACCTTCACCAGCCAGTCTTGTTCCATCCCTGCCTGTGGCCATTTTCCACCCTTTACTCTTTGTGAATTATTTGGAAGCAATATCAGATATCATATCGTTCATTCATAAATATTTCTATATGTACCTCTAGAAGACAGTGATTAAAGAAACCCACAGCCATAAATGCCCTATTACAGCTAAAAAGTTACAATAGCTTCTTAGTATAATCTAATACACAATCAGCATCCACATTTTTCTGATTCTCATAAATATGTTTAATAGTTTGTTTGAATCAGGGTGCAGATTGGGTCCACATGTTCTAATTGGTTGGCATGTCTCTTAAATCTCTCTTATTCCATCAGTTCCCATCCCTCTCTTTTCCCCTTAGGAGTCTGTAGCTTTAGCACCTTGTTTTTCTGGTTTTCAACCTGGGGCTTTGCCATGCCAACCGGTGATAACACCCTGATTCTTAAAGCACCTTACCATTTTGCAAAGCACTTTGACATACTGTATTTCATTCAGGAGGCCCCAGTATTTCTTTAAGGCAGGTGTATCAACTCAGTTTACAGGTGAGAAATTCAAGGTTCAAAGATTTAATGAGCTTTCCAGACTCAGAGCCAGGTCTTTTGACCTTAATACCTGTCCTCTTTATATGATTTGGTGGTGTTTCAACTTAGATTCCTGTTCTTGGACTTCTAATGGCTCCCTCTACTCCATTCTGTGCCCCAAAGAGGGCAGTACCTTTCTTACTGCACCTTGCCTTTAAAAAAAAAAAATTGCGGTAAAGAACATGCTCATTTAAAAAATCAAAACGGGCGCCTGCTTCTTCCTCTGCCTGCTGCTCCCCCTGCTTGTGCTCTCTCTCAAATAAATAAAATATTTTTAAAAATACATATTTCTCTGAAAGAGAGTCCCAGAAGTGAGATTGGTAGTCCTAAAAGCATGCCAAACAGGTACTACTAAATCACGGTCCCACTAATGTGTGGGTGCGCTTTTCTTCGAATCCTTAGCAAAACTAGATATGTCAGTCTAATCCTGTTTCCGCAGCCTGGTAAATTAACCATCGTCTGTGTTTCAGTTTTTGCTCCACTTGCTCTGGAGTGAGGGGTACATATTAGCATTTCTGTCTTTGTGATCTGCTTGTTCAAATTCTTCACCATTTTTTCCTGTTGGATTGCTGGTCTTGTAGTTTTGTAAGGACTTTTGTAAATTAGATAGATTCATCCTTTATCTGGTATGTTTTAAAAAATACTAGGTCTTACCACATGAAATTGCTAATATTCAGCCATTTTTACTCCTCCCCCCCCAAATGGGAATTTTATATGGCTCAACCTAGTATTGTTTTTCTCCAAGACCATCACTTGTCTTTTAACTTTGTTGTGTCTCCTTATGTAGAACTTCCTAATTTTTACGTAGTCAAATCTGCCCATTCGGCAGGTGTTCATGAGCTCCTGTTATGTGCCCGGGGATAGAGAGGCTGAGCCGACAGGCGCGGGCCCTGCCCTCTGGTGGAGGTGCTCGCAAACCGCGCTGAGGACCCGAAGGAGACCGCTCCTCCTTCATGGTTTTGGGATTCAGTGTCGTGCCTAGGAAGTCTTTCCTTCCCCACTCCAATATTATGAAAATACTCTCCCTTGTTTTCTTCTCTTGTGGGTTTGTGTTTACATTTAGCTTTTTAAATTTCATTATTAATTTACTTTCCCATATGGTGAGGGTTGAAATTAAAGTTCCTGTGCAACCAAGTGGTTCATTATTTCAGCACCATTTATAAATAACCATCCTTTCTTCACTGCTGTGACATCCCTTTTCGTAATATAATACTAATTCCTTTATTTACATAGCTCTACTTCCTTATTCTCTTCCATTTATCTCCATTTCTATGCAAGCAGCACACAGCTTGGGGTTTTGAGCTTTATAGTGTGTTTTTATCATTATTCCAGGGCCCTTTCCTTATCCTTTTTAAAAAATTGTCGTGGCTCTGCTTCCATATGAACTTTATTTTTATGTTTCTACCTTTTTCTTTTTTTAAATTTTATTTTAAATTCCAGTTAACATACAGTGTAATATTAGTTTCAGGTGCACAATATAGTGATTCAACACTTCCACACATCATCTGGTGCTCATCACAAATGCCCTGTTCAGTCCCCATCACCTGTTTCATCCATCCCCCACCCCTTCCCCTCTGGTCACCATCAGTTTGTTCTCTATAGTTAAGAGTCTGTTTCTTGGTTTGCCCCCCTTTCTCTCTTTTTTTTCCCTTTGCTCGTTTGTTTCGTTTGTTTCTTAAATTCCACATATGAGTAAAATCATATGGTATTAGTCTTTCTCTGACTTATTTTGCTTAGCATAATACCCTCTAGCTCCATCCACGTCATTGCAAATGGCAAGATTTCGTTCTTTCTTATGGCTGAATAATATTCCATTGTGTGTATCATCTTCATCCATTCATCTGTCAGTGGACACTTGGGCTGCTTCCATATCTTGGCTGTTGTAAGTAATGCTGCTATTAACATAGGGGTGCATGTATGCTTTTTTAATTTGTTTTTGTATTCTTTGGGTAAATATCCAGTGGTGTTATTCCTGGATCACAGAGGAGTTCTATTTTTAATTTTTTGAGGAACCTCCATACTGTTTTCCAGAATGGCTGCACCAGTTTGCATTCCCACCAGCAGTGCAAGAGTGTTCCTCTCTCCCCACATCCTCACCAACACCTGTTGTTTCTTGTGTTGATTTTAGCCATTCTGACAGGTGTGAGGTGTTATCTCATTGTGGTTTGGATTTGCATTTCCCTGATGGTGCGTAATGTTGTCTTTTTCATGTGTCTCTTGGCCATCTGTATGAAATGTCTGTTCATTTCTTCTTCCCACCACATGAACTTTAGAATCAACTTGCCAAATTCAGGAAGTAGGAGCCTTTTAGAATTTTTATCGGAGTTACAGTAAATTTATAAGTTAAGTTTTGTGAGCTTTTTTTTTATTGTAGCATCTTTATTGAGATGTAATTCGTATACCATATAATTCACCCATTACAATGTACAGTTCAGTAGTTTGTAGTATATAGAGTTGTGTAACCATCACCACAACCAATTTAGGACGTTTTCATCACCCCCAAAGGAAAC